AACATATATATCATATAAAAGAATTGTATACAGAATATATTTAAAAATAAACCAGAAAAGCTCTTACCACTCAATGATAAGAGGTCAAACGGGCTGGCCCCATGGCCGAGTGGATAAGTTTGTGCACTCCACTTTGGTACCCGGGAGTTTGCTCGTTCAGATCCTGGGCACAGACCTATACACTGCCCATCAAGCCCTGCTGTGGCGGCATCCCACATAGAGGAACTAGAATGACCTACAACTAGGATATACAACTATGTACTGAGGTTTTGGGGAGAAAAAAAAAAGAGGTTAAACAACCTAATTAAGAATTGTACAAAAGATTTGAATAGACAGAGAGAGATATATATATATATATATATATATATATACATATTTATATATATAACAGACAGTGAGCACAGGAAAAAATGATCAGCATCACTAATCATCAGGGAAATGCATATTAAGACCACATGAGATATGATAACATCAGAAAGGTTTTTTAGCTATTAGAATGGTTAAAAAGAAAAAAGAAAAGGTAAACAAAAGAAACACACACAATTAATTGACCATACCAAGTCATGTTTGGGGTGTGAAGCCACTATACCTTTCGTACATGGCTGGCAAGAATGTAAAAATGATAGAGTAACTTTTGAAAACAGTTTAATTTCTTAAAAAGCTAAATTTAAACCTACCATAAAACCCAGCCATTTCACTGTTAATTATTTACACAAGAAAACTCAAAACATATATCCACCATCTGTTTTTTTTTTTTTTGAGAAAGATTAGCCCTGAGCTAACTGCTGCCAGTCCTCCTCTTTTTGCTGAGGAAGACTGGCCCTGAGCTAACATCCATGCCCATCTTCCTCTACTTTATATGTTGGATGCATACCACAGCATGGTGTGCCAAGCGGTGCCATGTCCACACCTGGGATCCAAACCAGCGAACCCTTGGCCGCCAAAGCAGAACGTGCGAACTTAATCACTGTGCCACTGGGCTGGCCCCTCCACCAACATCTAAATGGATAAAAAATTGTAGTGTATCCATACAATGAAATATACTGGGAAATAAAATGACAAAGTAATGATACAGGCAACAGTATAGATGAATCTCAGAATCATTCTTCTGAGTGAAAAAGGTCAGGGAAAAACGAAAACAAATTGTGTACTGTAAGATTCTATTTTAGTGAAATTCTAGAAAATGTAAACTAATTGAGAGAGACCAGAAGTATATTAGTGTTTGCCTAGAGTTGTGAGTGGAGGAAGAGATGAATTAAAAACGAGTGTGTGTGTCAGGGGGTTCCAGCCTGGTGGTACAGTGGTTAAGTTTACACGTTCTCCTTCGTTGGCCTGGAGTTTGCCAGTTCAGATCCTGGGTACGCACTGCTTGTCAAGCCATGCTGTGGCAGGCATCCCACATAAAATAGAGGAAGGTGGGCACAGATGTTAGTACAGTGCCAGTCTTCCTCAGCAAAAAGAGGAGGATTGGCAGCAGATGTTAGCTCAGGGCTAGTCTTCCTCAAAAAAAAAAAATGAGTGTGAGGATACTTTGGGACTGTTGGAAATGTTTGTTACCTTGATTGTGCTATTGGTTTTATGGGTATATGCATATGTCACAACTCTCCAAATTGTATATTTTAAACTTGTATAATTTCTTAACTGCAAACTGGGCAGTGCAAAAGAAAAGGTAAGTGAATTTGAAAAAGAGAACAGAAATTACCCCAAATGAAAAACAGATAGAAAAAAAACTGAGGAAAAAAGTGAACAGAGCCTCAGTGAGTTGGAAATCTATTAAAAGGGTAGGCTATCCCCATATATTTGGAAATTAAGAAATATGCTTCTAAAAACCCTGAATCCAAAAAGAAGTCATAATGGAAATTAGGAAATATTTTGACTGAATGATAAATAAATATGACGTCAAAAGTTGTTGAATGCAGCTTAAAAGAGTATTTAGATGGAAATTGATAGCTTTAAATGCATATGTTAGAAAAGAAGAAAGGCTCAAAGTTAATGAGCTAAACGTCCATTTCAAGAAGTTAAAATAAGAGCAAAATAAACTCAGAATAGCGGGCAAGAAGAAATAAAAGCAGAAGCAGAAATTAATAGATAAGAAAACAAACATAAAATAGAGAAAATCAAGGAATCAAAAAAAATTCTTTTTAAATGTGAAAAAAAGAGAGAGAGAAACTTCTAATGTGGTTGATTGAGGGAAAAAAGAAAACGTAAATAACCAAAGTGAGGAATGAAAAGCAAAAAGGACATGGCTGCTGATGTGGTTGACATTAGATAGATAAAAGCATTTTATGCAAATAAATTAGAAAATATAGTTTAAATGGGTGAGTTCCTGGGAAACTATAACATAAGAAATTAAATACCCTGAGTAGTTCTATGACAGTTAAATAAGTTTGATCAGTAATAAAACTTTAGAATCAACTTTATTCCCAGTTGGCATCCTGGCATGTTCTACTAAATATTCAAGCAAGGCTTACTAAATTTTCTAATTTTTTTCCCAGAGAGTAGAAAAAGAAAACAATTCCACTCATTTTATGAGGGTAGCATAACATTTATATCAAAACTTGACAAAGGAAATTTGCAGACCAGTCTCAGTGTTGAACATAGATGCAGAAATTTTAAAGATACCATCAGGACAGGTAAACCCAGCAAGAAAACTTCATGATAATGTTGGGTTTTCCCAGGAATGGAAGACGATCGGTTTAACCTTGGGTGTAATTCACCATATTAAGATTTAAGAAAGAAAAATGACATGGTCATTTCAATAGATTCAAAATAAATTTGATAAAATTCAATATCCATTCGTGGTAGGCAAAACTCCCTAGTAAGCTAGATATATAAGGAACTTCCTTAATGCGATAAGTGGTATTTATTTTTTAAAATATAGCAGACATTATATTTAATGATGAAACTTTGAATGCTTTCCCATTTAGATTGGGTGTAAGTCAAGGATGTCCACTATCATCACTAATTTTCAACATCATAATGGAAGTCCTAGCCAAGGCAGTAAGGCAAGAACAGGAAAAAAGAAAGCAATAAGGATTGGAAAGGAAGAAAAAAACCCAAACTGCCATTATCTGTAGATGATATATTTATGTATATAGAGAATTTCCAGATAAATTATTATAATTAGAGAGTTTAGCAATTGACTGCTAGATATAAAGTCAAGATACAAACATCAATTGTGTTTCTATAAACCTACAAGAAACAAAACTTTGAAGTAAAGATACCATTTACAGTAACACCAACAGTATCCACTATGAATAAATCTTAACGGGCTATATGTAAGACCTTGGTGTTACCTATTGAGGAGTTGAGAAACCTAATGGAACAAAAAGTATAAGTCCGTGTTTGCTCTCTTCTTTTCAGGCTTTAATCTAGAAAATGTGCGTTGTTTAAATTTGGTAGGCTTATATAAAGGAAAGGCTATACATTTTGACTCATATTCCACAGAATAACATCCTAAAATAATTACTTGTAATAATATTTTAGGAGCACATTGATCACAGCAAAAGAGAATTAGATTATCTTAGTAATAGAAAGAGAGTTTGGGCTCATTCAATCTGAGACTTTACCCAGTATGAAAATCTTTTCTGTAGCATTCTTGAAAGCACTCTTTTTGGTGGTAGTTCATTCACTTTTCTGCCTGAAATTTCCACTCATGGAAACTAGTACTAAATCATTTCAGGAAGATTTTATTAAGTACATATGTACCCAGTACCACGATAACCACCTTATTTTGTTAAATCTAAGACATCATCAGTTTGTAAGATGCATCATTTCTTCTTCTACTAAATGAAAAAATGTTGCTACTTTTTTACTATGGCACACTATTGACTTTAATATGTATCTTGATTTCAGAGATGTTAAAATTTTTTTTAAGCATATTATGATTTTCTTTTTTTCATTCCTTTTTTTTTTTTTTTGGTGAGGAAGCTTAGCCCTAAGCTAACATCCACCACCAATCTCCTCTTTTTGCTGAGGAAGATTGGCCCTGAGCTAACATCCATGCACATCTTCCTCTATTTTATACGTTGCATGCCTGCCACAGCATGGCTTGATAAGCGGTGATGGGTCCACACTCGGGATCTGAACCTTCGAAACCCAGGCCACCGAAGCAGAGCACATGAACTTACCACTACACCATTAGGCCAGCCCCTGAAATACTTTTCTAGAAGTATTTCTACTATTTCACAAAAAAAATACCACTATCATTTTTCAGGTCTGTCATGCTACATTTGTTTTATTTTCATCCCTAATTTAAGCATCCTTAAATTAATTTTTCTTGGTTTCCCCCTTATTTTGCTATCCTGGGTATTTTCCTTTGGATGCCTTGTAGTTTATTAATAAACTACTTAAAATTGAATATGATGCAGACTTCAAAATGAAAATTGTAAAATCTTAAAATTAGTATATCCAGAAAGTAGAACACTCCATAAATTCAGGAAGTAGAGTTTTATTAACTTAAGATTTTCAGTAATTTTTTCCGTTAAAACAAGGAAGTCCATAGCCATGAACAAATTGTTGTGCTTTAATTTTTACAAGTAGGTCTAAATGTTATACTGTATACTTTTCGCAGCAAGACTTTCTCCCCATTAACACTCATTTATTCATTTTTCTAGTTGAGGGTAAAGATGATACTTTTTTTTAAGTTAACATTTTTTGTAATGAATATAAACAGGGTTGTAATACAAATCTTTTCTAATTATTCTTTCCTTCTCTACCAAATGATTACAGAAGAAATCTGCCCATAATATTTTGACCTGGGAATATTTCTAAATGACAGAGGTGTATGCTTGTGTTAGTACTGAATATTTACATTCGACTATTTTAATTTCTTTACAATGGTGTAATTTCTGATAGTACATGTGTACTCTGTGTATATTGACACCTCAAAGTATGTTAAATTTATAATTTTCTGATTCATATAGAGTTCCTGGTTTTTGATTATTGTAAAATTAAGCTTTTCTAGTGGTTAATATACTCTTCTCTTTTTAATAACACAGGTTTTGAGAGTATTTTAGAAGGGCTTTATGGACCACGGCTACGAAGAGACCTCAGTTTATTTGAAGGTAATGTTTTTTTAAAATTTTAACAAATGTAAAATGTTAATTTACATTTAACAAATTTAAATTTGTTAATTTAACAAATGAAAAATGGTTGTTCTACACTAACTTTATATTAAACATGAATTTGTGATCTTGTTTAATTAGAAAATATTTTTAAATGAATAAATAAAATCCAAATATTATTCCTGTTATTATGTAATGTTATCATAGTCTTTAAAATAAATTTTAGTAGACTTATCAAAGTTGAAAATGAAGCTTGTTTTTGGCTCAATGGTGAAGTTTGATTCTTGTTATTTTATACCTTACGTGTCTTGACTTAAAAAATGAGGATTTAAAGAGGTTTGATTAAATGAGTATCTCCTCTTGCTCATGATACAGTTTCTCACATTGTCACTCTGAGAAATCCCACCATCTGCGTTCAGAGTTTTATATCTATGTATAATACTGTTATTTGTTATAACTTCCTCTTCTAAACGCTCTAGCATAAATCTTGGTGGAAGATTTTGATCTATGATATAATTGCTGTGATACCATAGTTTAGTTTTATTGCTTGCTTGGAAATGTAGAGCACTAAGAGAGAACATTTTTGTAGACATCTAACATTTTATAGTACAGTTCATTAACAAAATGGGTAGCGTTAGTATGGATTTTCTGCTTTCATTTCGATTGAATTATTTCTGAATCTTGTATCTGGTCAGTTTTAATGTGCTAACTCTGTTACCTTCTGTTCTACTCTGATACCTTCCATTCTGCTGAGACCCAAGGTGTCTCTAAAGGTCCTTCTCTCTTCTCTAAAATAAGTCTTTTGAGTTGAGGGAGTGGTAGTGATGGTGGGACTAGTCAGAAGTTTTCTACTCATTCTTTATTAATGTTGAGCAGGATAGGTGAGTTATAAATCATAGAGCTGAAAGTATCTGTGAAAGATCATTTGTCCCAGCCATCCGTCTTCAATCAGATAAATGATATCCATGTAGAACATGACTTTAAGGAGACTCCAAATGTGCCTGTTCTAGTGTTTTATCATTCTTATGGCTAAGATTTTTTTTCTGTATCATCTCTTTAATCATTAATCATTTCTCAGTTACCATAGTTTAATACTGAAGTAAATATTTTTACTTGATATATTTATAAGCAATACTGGCTGATTGTAGTTTCACCAATTTATCTGAGCTTACAAATGAACAAAGGAAGAATCTAAAGAAACAAGAATTTAGCCTATGCTTTATTTTTCTTCAGCCTTGCATTCTTAACCAGCTGTCCTCATTCATACCTGAAGTCAGCATTATACTAACTGCCTTCTCATAACCCGAGTTGCAATTTGTGACTCGACCTCTTGCTTCTCCTACTTTCATTTATTTATTTATATAGTTATATATGTATGTATGCATATATTTATGTTCCTTCAGAAATTAGTTGTTTTTATACAAAGGGTAGAATGTTCTAAGGAAATAAATGCTTGTATTTTATTTTTAGACTAGTATACAAGTAACGCATGTTCATTTTAGGAAATTAAAAACTACAGATAAGCCAGAAAGAAAAAAATTACCCCTGGTCCCATGACCCACAGATAACTGCTGTTAACGTTTTTATATAAATGGAAAATGTATGTTTGTATGTATTTATTCTATTATTAAAGTAGTGTTTACAGTAAGTACAGTATAGTTTTTGTGCCTCCTGTGTGTTTGTTCACTAGTGTATTGTTTGGGTATATGAAGTTCTAGATCATCATTCTTAATGGCTGCACAGTATTTCATGGTGGATCTATTATAATTAATTTAATTAATTAATTAAATACTTCATTGCTATATATCTTATTCCATTTATTCCTTTAATTCAGGTAGATCTTGTACTTTATGTCCTCTTTTGTACTTTTTTTGGGTGGCGGAAGTTATAAAATTAGCTAAGCTTTGGAACTTTTTCTCAAATGTAGGCACATATTTACTTCATTGATCTTTTTTACTCTGAATTTTTTCACTTTTATCCAGGTTTCTTAGGTAAATTCTTTCACCTTTTTCCTGTTTTTTTTTAATTAAAGCAGCTTCTAATCAAAGTTGTAGGCTTAAGAATGATGATCTTATAATAATAAATCTGTATTTGTGCAAGGATGAAGACAGCCATACGCTTTGAAAGAAAATTAAACCGGGGCAATCAATGTGTAGAGCCTTTTGAAAAGGCACGTAGAAGCTATCCATTATAGACATCTCCAGTTTCTTTCTCATCCTCTTCTAAATGAGTCTCCTTTCTTTGTCGTTACCGTTGTTAAAAGTGGTGTGATAGATAGATGCTAGGACTACAAATGTAATTATTTTTCCCTATACAAATCTGTGTATAAGAATCAAATGGATTAGTCTATGTTTTTAGATAAATCATTGGAAAACTGAACCCTTTTATTCACCAAAACTCAGGAACCAAATAAATTGGATAGCAAAGGATTCTTGTATATTACTCTAAATTATTTTTTATTATAAAATTAAATGCATAGTATTTTAGCTACATTTATGTTAAATAGACTTGTTTCAGTTTGCAAAACTGCTGCTGTTTCTGTGGAAAAAGACATTCTCACTTTCATCCTGCTACTCTGAAAATCAAATTTGGTACACAGTGTGTTTTTAAATTTAAGACTTTGTGTCGTATATGTCAGTGTTTTGAGAGGTTTGTATTTTAGTTCTTGAATTTGATTCAGAACCACCTCCAGATTGAGTGGTTTTGAAAGAAGCTTGTGAGTGCTGCTAATTTTCAATTTGTTGGAAACAAAACAAGTCAAAAACAAAAAAAAAAGTCCTAGCTTTTTGTCTTCTTTGGTCTGTTCTCAGGAGCTTTTGTCCTTTTGAGGAAACTGTTATTTCTTTTTGGAGTGAAGTCCAGAGAAGCTTTGAATGTCATAAACTTTGAATTTTTATGTATTCCTAGAAAAGTTCCCCATACTGTATGCATGCCTCTGTTCCTTCTCCATCTCCTCAAAACTCACTTTTCCTGCTATCATGGGACTTTTGAGCAAAAAGTCGCTCTTCTTTTCCACTTTAGTCATTCTTTCCTCATGTCTTATATTGGTAAGCCAATTTCTTTCATCCATTGGATCATCTGATTTACTTACCCTGACTGTATCAGAGTTCTGCAAGCTGTAGCATATGGGCCAAATCTAGCTCGTTGACTGTTTTTGAATGGCCTGTGAGCTAAGAATGGTTTTTACACTTTTAAATAGTTGGGAAAAATCAAAAGAAGATTAATATTTCGTGGTATATGAAAATTACATGAAGTTCAAATTTAATTGGTTAATAAAGTTTTATTGGAAACAGCCCCTCATTTGTTGATATATTGTCTATGGCTGCTTTTGTATTACAGCAGTAGAGTTGAATGGTTGTGACAGAGACCGCATGGTCTGCAGAACCTGAAATATTTACTGTCTGGCTGTTTGCAGAAAAGATTTGGTGATCCCTGACTGAAATTTAATACTTTTGGCTTAATATGCTTTTTTCAACTGTTAACATTATGATGATGGAGACAACAAAACTACTTTTTAATTAGATTTATTGGATGAAATGTTTTGAATGCTTATTTTGTGTTAGGTACTGTGGTTAGCAATGAGGAAAGAAAAATGACTAAGTAGGATCTCTTCCTACTAGGAACTCACGGCCTAGGATTAACTCGGAAGTCTAGTTTTCTAATATGAATTCATGATTATTTATATTAAAACGAGAGAATCTAGTACTATTTTAGAGTTAGTTATGTAAAAAGTATATTAGCTCCTATCAGTGTGTACACAAATACATATCCAAGTCTATTCATCATGGTGTTTATAATACCAAGATTAGAGAAACAGGCTGAATATCCAGCAATAGGACACTGATTAAATAAATTATGGATTATGTTTATCTATTAAAAATTGATTTAGAAGTATATTTGAGAATGGAAAATATTTGTGATAAATAAGCATGTATGTAATATCCTAAATTTTTTAAATGAATAGTATGTTTTAGAGCAGTTTTAAATTTACAGAAAAATGGAGTAGAAAGTGCAGAGAGTTCCCATATACCCCATCTTTCTCCCTCCTTTAGGTTCCCCTATGTTAACATCTTTGGTGGTTGTGGTACATTTGCTACAATTGATGAACCAATATTGATACATTATTAACTAAAGCCCATAGTTTACGTTAGGGTCACTGTGTGTTGTGCAGTTATATGGGTTTTGCCAAATGCACAGTGTCATGTGTCTGCCATTACAGTATCGTACTCAATAGCTTTACTGCCCTAAAAATCCCCTGTATTCCACCTTTTCACCCTTCTCCCATATCTCCAACCCATGTCAAACACTGATCTTTTTACCATCTCTGTAGTTGTTTCTTTTCTAGAATGTCATATAATTGGAACCATACAGTGTGTAGCTTTTTTAGACTCACTTCTTTCACTGAGCAGTATGCATTTAAAGTTCCTTTAAGTCTTTTCATGGCTTCACAGCTCACTTCTTTTTATTTTTGAATAATACTGCCTTGTATGTATGTACCACTGTTTGCTTATCCATTTACCTATTTGAAAGACACCTAGGTCACTTCCCAGTTTTGACAATTATGAATAGAACTGGTATAAACATTTGTGTGCAAGTTTTTGCATGGACATAAATTTTCAACTCATTTGGGTAAATACCTAGGAGCAATTATATGGAAGGACTGTGTTTAGCTTTGTAAGAAACTGCCAGACTGTTTTCACAAGTGGCTGTACTACAGTAGTCTCCCCTTATCCATGGGGGCTACATTCTAAGACCCTCAGTGGATGCCTGAAACTGCGGATAGTACCAAGCCCTATCTGTACTGTGTTTTTTCCTATACATACCTCTGATAAAGTTTAACTTATAAATTAGTGAGAGACTAACAATTACTAATAAAATAGAAAAGTTATAACAATATACTGTAATAAAAGTTACGTGAATGTGGTCTCTCTCAAAATATCTTATTGTGCTTTTCTCACCCTTCTTGGGATGATGTGAGGTGATAAAATGCCTATGTGATG